TGCAGCACCAGCTTCAATAGATGCAGCACAAACAGAGGCAAAGCAGCGTGAGCCAGCACCGGCAATTCAGCAAGCTGACAAGCATGCAGTTCCAGCTGCAACTGAAGCAGAAGGGGAAGATTATATTACCGTTGTCAGGTGCACCAGTGATGCTCTAGCGTTCATCTTCCAGCGGAACGCTTGGCTGTTCTCTTGGAAGCCAAAAGCATCGCAAACCCAGGTGTGCTTTGTAGAAAGTGGCGCTGGCAAAGTGTTCCGCTTCGCTGTTGTTGACGCTGCCCTGCCGATCACAACCTTCAGCGATCTCCGTGCTTGTGAGACATTCCAGAATGCTGGCGGTGGGTTCAAGACAGCTTGGAAAGTTCGCACCTTGTCCTTTTTGTTTTCAGAGTGTTATTGGATCGTTTGGACCCTCCAACCTACTGGCGATGGCCTCCAACCTAATAGCAATGGCCTCCAACCTAGGGAGCTAGCAGCTAGGACATAGGTGGCGCCCCCGAGACATTAAACTGAGGCATTGTGGAGAAGAAGAAGAAATTGTTCTTGTGGAGATTGATCGATGTGCAAGAGCCATCCGTGCCATCGGTTGTGGACAGCAAGCGTGGACGAGCCAGCGCCATACGCAGAAGCGCCATCTTGCCAGCACCTGACACCAGTGGCAACGTTGCAGAGCTCAGCTTGACAAGTACGGCCAAGCACTTTGTCAGCAAGTTGTCGGACAGTGACAGGAAGCAGCTGCAGTCAACGTTGCAAGGGTTGAACGGCAAGTGCATCAAAGTCGGCACGACCTGTTCAGGGACCGATGTTGCAATCCCGGTCCTGGAGTGCACGTTCAGAGCGCTCTGCGAAATGTTTCAGGCGCCTTTCCTGGGCTTGCAGGTTGATGCAGATAGAATATACGCAAAAGATCCCACAAGTAGAAATACAGGTGCGGTACAGTGGTCCAAGTGATTACCATAAAGGTAAAGAGAAGTATGATATAGTATAATACTATAGTATCAGTATGCTTTGTATTGATAATTTATCTTGGAAATGGCCTGTGAGGTGGAGATACATATTCAGCACGAGTTCTCAGTGGAAGTGGACGATTTTAAACGCAAATTCCTGATGTCTGCCCATGCCATTGACGGCCAGTGCGGGTTTCACTTGTTCGAAGATGTTGCAATCTTCAACCAAGAGGATGACCAGGATCATTTGTGCCACACCTGCCAAGCCAAACACAAGATACCTGGGACAATTGATATATTGGTTGCGGGGCCTTCTTGCAAGGATATTTCTAAGGAGAACGTGAACAGAGCAAAATACACTGGTTGCTGCTTGGTTGATAGTTGCTGTGTGAATGTTTCTACCTGAAGTCTGAAGGTATTCAGACGCGCAAACATAATTACTGTAACAAAACCCTCCACTGTGTATTCCCTCAACAATCACAAACACGTGGAGAAGTTCGTGTTCCATTCTCATTGCTCCAGGCTATGAAACTGGTGATGGTGGCTCTGGACACACCTATCAGAATGGAGTTCTGCGAGCTATCGAGAGGACTTCTCCTGCGATCTTCATCTTTGAGAATGTAACTGGCGTTATGGACCGCCCCAGGCTGAAGAATGGCCAACGAGGAGATTCAGCTGTGGAGGCCCCACCGATCAAAAACGTATAGAGTCTATATATAACTGGCAATGAGATTCAGAGACAATTCCTGCTGCAGGAAGTTCATGAAAGGTTACAGTGCAGAACTATACTGAAACATTAAATAAGAAACAAGAACATGTAACCTATTTACAGTACTGCCAGATTTCCACTTGAAAGCGTACCTGCATGTTGGAAACTGACCAGTCACCAGTACTCATATTCTGGCTTTTTAACCTGCATATACTCACTTTGCAAGACGTGGCCACGGCAGGTGATTAAGAGAGATCTCAAGGCCATCGGATATCAGTTCCAATGGAGCAAATTAGATGCCCAGGAATATTTGCTGCTGCAGCGGCGCAATCGCATTTATGGCCTGGGTGATTTGGATGAAGGGCAAAACTCCGAGACCTTCTCAGCCACTATGCAGAAATCTCTGTCCAGCATGGCATCAGGAGTTTCCTTTGGGTTTGATCAGATCTTTGACAAGAACTTGCCAAAGTGCACGCTCAAAGGCAATGCTTTGGACAGAATGAAAGAAGCCATCCAAAAGTACCAATACCAAGAGAGCGAGAGCAGCAATCTCTTCATTGACACTGCAACATCGTCTCAAAGGGAGGCAGAAGCAGCAGTTGGTGTCGCTACATGTGTCAAGCCAAGCCACAGCATATATAGCACCCATTTGGAGCGTTTTCTTACGGTTCAGGAACTCTTCCATTGCCAGGGTATCTTCAAAGATGATTTCCATTCACCAGATGCATTTGGAGACGTCTTGAAGAGCCAAGAGCCCTTCAAAGGCTCAAGATTTGGCTGGCAACGCCTTCGCCTCAACTTGTTGCCAAGTTCAACTCATCGCGAGCTTGATCCATGCGAAGGGTTGGGCACATGTTGGCAAGCAGGAGCCTGCAGTGGGCGGTGCGAGCAGTGCAGCGCTTTCAAGATCAGGATCATCACTTTCAAGTAGTTCAGGGCAGCTAAAGACACCAACTCCATCGAAGCAGAGTCCTGATGAGAAACGGTCCCTTGAGCCTCTTGAGGAGTACTTTGGCCCTTCTATCAAGCGAGTAAAGTTTGACCAAGCACCAGCAGCAGCACCCTTTCAGGCGGGCTTTACAGTATAAAGAGGATCATATTCTAACTGCGTGCGCAAGACATCCCTTTCATAGGTTGCTTCATCACTTCTGTAATGTTCTAATGCGAGCCAACTGATTTGGCTTGTATACAATACAAGTACAATATTTTTTGTCCTTGTTGATGAAATCTATGGTTCTAAACTCGCATGCAGGAGATGTATGTTGATATGACGGAGGAGCAGCTGAATATCTTTTGGAGTTTTTTCAGAAACCTAGACCCAGATCGTATGCACTATGAGAAGCCTCCCATCAATTGGCGACCTCCCAACCCATCGAGAGACATGTCTGAGGAGGAGTTGCAGGCTTATTGGGCAGCTTTCCGTACCATCATTCAAAACAAAGCTGATGAAATGCCGGAGCAAACGTGTCAACCTGACACATCGTGCGACATGCCTAACATTGCACCTGCTGCTGTCGCAACTGTGAAGCCAGTTTGCGGTAGAATTCGAGTGCGGGGCAAAACATCGCAGGCAGATGTTGACAGAAGATCTGCTCAGCTTCAGAACCTAGAGGAGGCCCGCTCCAAGAATGCTTCCAAGCGTGCCAAGGTTTCTTCAGAGTCTGGCGCACCTTCCAAGCGGAAGTACGAGAAGAAGGCAGAGAAAACCTACCGGGAGGGCAAGAAGCCATGTGTCTCCATATGGATGAAAGTGGAGCTCTGCAAAGATGCTTGTTTGTTATGTGGTGTGTGGTGCTTCAACCAAGTCCTATCTTACCAACATGTAGATCAGCAAAAACAAACTGTGCATTTTCCTGTGTTCTTATCTGCGCCGACATCATTAATTTGATATATGCGTCCATCTTACTCTTCCAAATTCCCATCTTATGCGTTTGTTTTTATACTGCAAGTGAAAGCTAAGCTTTCCTTTCAGCTGGCTGAGGAGTATGACAAATTGAAAGCCGATCCAGCCATCCGCCATCCAGAGAAGCACATGCTGAATAAGCATCGGAAAGCGGGCCAGTATCAGGGGTGTTTCTCGAACTCCCACTGGTCCGGAAAGCGGAAGCGGGATAAATGGGATCTCTTTTGCGAGACAGCGCCCAAGCTGGCTCGCAAGTGCCACGAAATCCCAAACTCTATCAAGCAACTTCTCAACATCGGCAAGCTCAAGCACTCCAATGGCAGGTTCAAGGTGTCTGAAGGTACCCGATCCTTGCCAATTCAGCTTGCATTTGCGTGGGAGTCGATGTTGCTCGAGAGAATGCAGCTTGGAGAGGAGGTAACGAGCGACTTCGCGCAAACCTTGTTTCTTCAGTTGGTTGAGGAGTGGAATAGCGCGATTGCAGACCTTGCCGAGAAGGCCCGCGAGCAGCTGGGAGTTCAAATCTTGAGGGAGCATGACAGCACCATGGAAGACACTGGTGACACTGCTGACAACCAGGCGTTGGCTGCCCGTGAGCTGGAACGTCTGACCTCATCTCTGCAAGCGTGTGCCATTAGCAAGAACCTTACTGCTGTGCGGCTCCCTGGCTGCAGCTACAGTATGTGCTCAAGGGCGATGGTTTTGTCGGCCGTGCAATGCACTCCATGTATGCAGCAAAGATGTTTAAATCTCAGCCTACATTTTTCAAAGAGTATACAGTACGGTCAGTAATTATACTGTATATTTACTGAGTGAGTTGTTATGTGCTTTTTGGGGGGTTTCATTTTGTTGCAGATAGAATATGGAGCTTGGATTCTCCGCTTTGCTATACGCTGTGACTAAGATTCCACGTCTCCCGCTTGTGCAACAAGATGGGGATCAAGCAGAGCAAGACTGCAAAGCAGACCAGGCATTTGCCATATGACCATCCATCCATGGCCGCTGTCAGGGAATGGGTGGGAACAGCAGTGGAAGCCAATCAGGTGCATCCACGCCTCATAGCCCACTTTGACCAAGTATGGACAACCCTATACGAACCAGCTGATCATTGCTTGTGGAAGCCTCCGGAGCTGGAGGGATGCCACGATCCACGGACAAAGCGGCCTTCGCCGTCAAAAGCACAGATGCTGAATAGTATCAGGGAAGCTTTGGGAATGGAGATCAGCAAGGAATCTAAGTCGGACAAGAAGCATGTCAAGCCGGCAGCGTTGTGTGCTCAGTCAACCCTGGTACCTGTGGACTATCAGCGCCACCCAAGAACAACAACGACCCTGAGCTTCTGCGATGGGAAGATGGGACGCGCTTTTGTGACAGCAGCTCCTTCCGTTGTGTCATGGCCCTAGTTCTTACCTTCCCTTATATTACTATATGTCCTTTTGGTTGTTTCTGGTTTTGCAGCTTAGCTTCTGACTGTTCTTGCAAACGCAAGACTTTTGCAAATAGACATCGGGAAGTTTATTATACGGTAGGCCTCTACCATGGTGAGGCTGATGAGGGATAGAGAAACTTTTGAATACTATAAACAACCTGGAACTAAGTCAACATATAGACTTAGAAACTATGTGCAGTGCATCAAGTAGAATGCAGTGCAGTATATTGGTACAACTCAGCTGAGATACTCTCAGGCCTGATGCAGTGGCTGATCGCATGAATGAGGAACTCAAGGCAACGATGTACATTTCCAGAACTCATACCAGCAAGTCCCATATGTGGAACAGTGAGACATTGGGTCACTACTTAAGCTTTTTGAGGGACGAGCTCAAAAGAAGGAGGTTGGAACTCAACTTGCCGTTCAGTGCGAAGGCATTGATCCTATGTGATGCAGCAGCTGTGCACTCTGCCACTATGTGGGAGAAATTGAGGCTTCGCTTTGAGAAGGAGGCTAATGCCATCCTGCTGCATGGCGGCGGGGGTGGTGGCCAAGATCGAGTTGTGATTCCTGGTGGGTGGGGGGCCACCGGAGCCCCAAACGATGCTTGGCACCAGTGGTTCCACTACCTCAGGCGTGGCTACATGAGACTATGCACAGGTACTGCTGCGAGTTTGAAGCTTCGGAGGGAGTTCTCCCAGTTTGACTTGTCGGTCGATGGGAATGCAAAATTCCAGTGCCTCGAGCTGCACAATAAGTCGTGTTTAAGTGAGCGTCCAAATGCTCTTAGATACAGCATAGGTTTCTGGTTGTTGAATGAGTGCAGTATATGTACAGTATGCAGTTAGAATATGGGTCAACCTGAGGCTCGGCATCGAATCAAGCCTGAAGGCAGACGCTTGGGCCTTGCGCATGATCTCCGAGTATCAAGGAGGCAAAGTGTTGCTTTGGAGTTGGGTCTCAAGAGGGCTCACAAGTTTGGACCAGGTTGCCAAGTGGCATTTTGATTCCAATGTTGAAGAGGCTGAGCTTGCTCTTCACAGTACACGAGGCAAGATGGCTGAGCTTTGCGCTTTGGATGAAGTGCCGACTACAGACTTTCCAGAAGAGAAGCAGCAAGTGGTCCTAGCCGAGGAGAGCAACTTGGAAGGTGAGGTCCGGCAACTGTGGGCAATTGTTGATGCAGAAAGTGAGGGCGCAGATCCGATTCCATTGCCTGCTTGGTGTGGTCTTGCCATTGACAAGGCAATTCTTCTCTGGAGACGGGAATATGAGTTGTGGAATGGGAGGTTTGCGAAGCGGTTGAGGGACACTGGCAAGGACTACTTGCCTCCTGCACAGATGCAGAAGTATGAAGACTGGTGCAAAGAAGCAACTCGGTCCATTGTGCTGGACAAAAAGAAGAAGGCTCAGGTTGTCAATGTTGCAGACAAGAGTTTGAACCAATTGCGCAAGAGCTGCATCCTCCTGAAGATCCAGATGAGCAACAAAGCGGAAGACCTCATGATCCAAGCTGGTTCTGGAAAGCAATGGAAACTTAGGCTTTTTGAGGGCTCGGTTCCACATGCTATTTCGGATCAGGTTCCTCCTGAAGTGGACCACTTTAGAGGACTGAGCCACGCGCGTTGCTGTGATGAGTTCAATCATGAAGGGTAGCCTATTACACAGTTTCTGCTTTTTGATGGGGGTGGTGTGTATATTCTATCTGCAGCTTTTTTGATAGATTCTACAATACAGCGGCCTCTACTGTACAAACTCTGTAGTTTGTAGGAGACCTAGCCGACTTGGAGCAGATGCAGCACCAGGAGGACCCTGAGCATGGTGATGAGCAAGCTCAAGACGATCCTCCTGATGCAGCGCCGCTCGAGGACTATGTCCAGCACGATGAGGCGGAAGATTTTGAAGAGCTTGACGCAGACATGTCCACATGGATGCTTCTCCAAGACAGCGATGTGGAGAGCGACATGGATGAAGATGTCCCGGGCTTCACAGAGGCTTGTACAAAGGCCAAGGCCATCGATCGCCCAGAATATCATCGTTTGTACGATTTGGGTCTTGCAGGGCGTCCTTCAGGGTGCAAGCTAGGTGTGCATATTCCAGCCAGGGTATGGCGCTCTGGTTGTGCCGGATCATCGTACTTTAGTAGGTCATGGGATGGAGATACTGGGCGAAGCCCTTGGCAGGCTTTACTGCGCGTGATGCAGCTGATGCTGGATGCTTACGTGCTTTCAAACCCCAAAGACCGGCTAGCCAAAAGGCAGCTGAGTCGAATCCAAGCGCTCAGGAGTGAGGAGCCCCCCCACGCAGACTGACACCGCAGAGCAGGCCCACTGTCCTGTGAGCTACATAGCTTGCAACCCCCTTACAGTTGGTGAAACAGTTCCAGAATACATTGCATATAGTACGCATTTCAAGCGTGTTGCACAAAAAGTACAGTACTATAGCAACAGGACACATGAAAGAGCATTCACCAGGCCCTTTTGGTGGTGTCAGTCATTGAGTGTGGACGCATGGAATGTCGAGCTTGCATGCGACAGGGAAAACAGATTGCAATCGACCGCTTTCCTCACTGTCACAGTTTCCGTTCATTACTTTTCAGCGTGCAGGCAGAACATGCAATGTATATAAAGTATACAGCAGTGCCCAAGGAAGTGAGCATACTATTGCATTCTATTTGCAGAAGGTACAGTACATGATCTGGCATGTTGTGGATTCCGCTACATCGCATAGATATTTTGCGCTCAAAGGCTATTATATAATATATACAGTAAATGTGTACTCATGTATACATACTCATTTGTTTGCAGGCATCAGCCAACAACGCAGCACTGAACAAGCATGCGCCAGGTGAAAAGCGATCGGGGTAGAACAGTGAACTCGCCAGTTTACATATTCTATCTCCATGTGCCCCCCAAAGGCCCCATGTCACGTGAGCAAGATAGGTTGCCGCAGCCTTAGCTAAGTAAGTGTTGCATACCTGCAGCATTGTACAGTAATGGTATTTTCTAAAAACACGACTTAAGTACAGGACTGGATCATTTTTGCAAGCATCTTGGGAAAGCAACGCTGCAATCAACGAGCATGCGCCAGATGAACATCAATCGGTGTAGAAGCAAGGATTTTCCAGCTTGCAGTATCATGCTATATTCTATCTCCATGACACTCAGGTAGGTTTGTGTGCCAGGTAGGTTGCCGCACTCAGCACTCTAATCACTTGTATTTGAATACACTCTAAATATACCGGATAATATTATAGTATTATGCTTACACCTATGTTTGCATAGACTGCATCATTGTTTGCAATCAATTTGGCAAAGCAGCACAGCAAGGAACAAACACGCACCGGATGTTAGTTCATCCGTGTAGCATGTCATGCGCTCTCCTGTTGACACTATACTGCCATATTCTATCTCCATGTCTGCTCCTTTCCATCCCCAGCGTATAGAATCTCCATATTCTATCTGCAACTTAAAAAAATCCATATTCTAACTGTCGGCTCCCCATAGTAACCTACTGGATATACAAGCGCATTGTCACTGCTCGGTTGGCCACAGAATTCAAGCTCTTGATGAGTCTATGATGTATGGAACCTGAACTCCAAACTTTACAGATCAAGCATGCAAATCCAAAATGCTATCTACGCTCGAGTGCTGAGTGCGCCAAGTTCTTTTCTGCAGCAAGCGCTCTGTCCGATGA